ACTAGTCCGAAACAAAACAAACTTCTGCAGTTCTATGAATGTCGCAGATAGCTAAGCACATTGTTTCCAAGATTTGCGTCTCAAAAGCAATACTGCAATATACCAAACTTTGATTGCGCGAAACTAAAACGCTAAAATATTACTAGTTACCTATTACTTTGGCGACGCCGAGGCCACATCCAATGAAGGAGTATGAGAAGGACATTAATGCGGCCACCACCGATAACCATGCCATATTGTGAAAATCAGGTATCTGAGATAAAATTATCTGAGAAACACCGAAGATCAACGTGCAAGAAGTAATTTCATAAGAACAGGGAGCGCCGTTCCCTTGACTGCGATAGCAGCTTGATTGCCAAATCCCTCTGCATTCATGACAATCAGGGAGAACTAGTCCTCATGTTTGTTCTTGATTTGTTATAGCTAAACTGGAAGTACTAGAATTCGCATAAATGAATATGCATTTGCCGCGAATTTACTTCAACTATCACAGTTTAACAGTAAGGGTGGGTTGGAGAATGGAAGATATATACCTATCTTTTTATCAGAATTATCAGTCATTTAAAGTCCTAGAAGCTACATATGTAAAGAAAACATGGTGGAATTAGCGGGAAATATTTTTTCAAGCAATTGCACATTGACCCAATGTAGAATTGAGCCGTGCCACTTCTCACTCTTTCAAGTTTGATATCAGCAAATAAGTTTCCTACAAAGATGTCATTTGCATTAAATCTTTTGTATTTTCAAATTTGTCCCTAAGTCTAAAGTCTTCCAATTTTAGAAGTTGTTGTTGGGAATTTAATGCCTAAACCCCTAATGCAACAGAAACGCAGAATAGAAAAAAGTACACCAAGATTTACGAGGTTCGGCAACTGCCTACGTCCTCGGGAGCCACACAGTTAATTTCTTATTAATCAAACAAGAAATTACAATTTAGGAGCAGATCAAATATGAGATCTCTCTAATGAACACTGTAGCTACAATGTTAATACCCACAATAAATACCCTCTTCTCTTTTCTCTCTCTTCTTAATTCCTTTTCTTAATCTCCCCTCAAAAGAGCAATTGAGAGCTAGAGATGGAAATAAAAATCGCTTCTGCGATTTTAAGGCTAAACGCTGCTGCGTTAATTTCGTCCGCCGCCAGAGAGAGATCGGGGGAAAAAGCTCAGCACCGAAACCCTAGATCTCAAGGGGTTTATATAGGCGGGATTCGTGGGCTGGCGACAGCCTGTCGCCAGCGGATAAGCCCGACGCGAGGGTCGGAGCGCTCGAATGCAAGGGTCGGCATCGCCAAAAAACGCCGAGGTCAGAATCGCCCAAACGCGATGGTCGAAAACGTCAAGTTCGTTCGTCGTCGAATTCGCCTGAGTCGACGTCCACGCTCGCCTGCATCATCCATCGAGCTCGTCGGAGCTCCTCGTCGGTGGAGGTGAGTTTGGTCTACACCCAAACTAACAATCTCCCACTTGGAGACCAAACCGACGCTAACGGGCTATCTCATCAAGCTTCTCTCCTGTGTGGCTCCGCTTTCATCATCTATGCATGAAGGCCAACTGAAGTTGCGCACAACTCCAGTTTCTGAACTGTCATCGTCTTGGTTAACATGTCTGCTGGATTCTTACTTCCTGGAATCGTTTCCAGATTCAACACGTCATCTTCCAACAGGGATCTGATGAAGAGATACCGAAGCCCAATATGCTTCGTTCTAGAATGAAATGCTGAATTCTTCGTCAAGTGTATCGCACTCTGGCTATCACTGTGCAAAACATTCTTCTCCTGTTTGAATCCCAGCTCTGTCAATAAGCCCTGAAGCCATATCATTTCTTTACTGGCTTCAGTCACTGCAACATACTCAGCTTCTGTAGTGGATAAGGTAACGATCTTCTGTACCTGTGACATCCAACTAACATCTATAGTTCCGACGGTGAATACATAGCCGGTGGTGCTTCTTCGGTGATCGACATCACCGCCGAAGTCTGCATCTACGTACCCTTGCACTTCTACCTCTCCCTTACCAAAGTACAAACACTTCTGTGTGGTGCCTCGTAGATATCTCAGAATCCACTTGACCGCTTCCCAATGAGCTTTTCCTGGATTCGACATAAACCGGCTGACCACTCCCACTGCATGGCCAATGTCTGGTCTCGTACAGACCATTGCGTACATCAAACTTCCGATAGCTGAGGCGTAAGGAACCTGAGTCATACTCTCTTTCTCTTCTTCTAATTTAGGAGACTGATCCTTCGATAGACGAAAATGGCTGGCCAAGGGTGTGCTCACGGGCTTGGCGTCGCCCATGTTGAATCTTTGCAAAACACGGTTGATGTACTCCGTCTGAGATAACTGCAAGAGACCTCTCTTCTTATCTCTCGTGATTTGCATTCCAAGGATCTTCTTCGCTGGACCCAAGTCCTTCATGTCAAACTCCTTTGACAGCTACTGCTTCAAACTCCTGATATCCTCCATATCTGCTCCTGCAACCAACATATCATCAACATACAGCAGTAGGATGATATAACTGGACTGATATCTTTTGAACTAGCAACAGTGGTCGACGTTGCACTTCTGGAATCCTTCCTTGTGCATGAAACCGTCAAACTTCTTGTACCACTGTCTTGAGGATTGTTTCAGGCCATACAAGCTCTTCTTGAGTCTGCACACCAGGTTCTTCTTCTTTTCTTCTGAGAAACCTTCTGGCTGGTGCATGTATATCTCCTCTTCTAGATCTCCGTGAAGAAACGCTGTCTTCACGTCTAACTGCTCGAGATGAAGATCTTCAATAGCTACAATACTCATCACGGTCCTGATAGTATTTAGCTTCATCACGGGAGCGAAAATATCAGTGTAGTCAATTCCTTCCTTCTGCTGGAAACCTTTGACAATCAATCGGGCTTTATATCTCCTGGAACCATCCTGCTCTTCTTTCACCCGGTACACCCATTTGTTGTGGAGTGCCTTTTTACCCGTAGGTAACTCAGCTAGTTCTCACGTCTGGTTTGAGATGAGGGACTTCATCTCATCTTTCATTGCAAGCTCTCACTTGCTCGCATCTCCACACTGACAAGCTTCATCAAAGCTTTCAGGCTCCCCACCATCTGTCAACAATAGATAGTTCATATATCTCCTGTTGGGTATAGGAGGACGAGAAGATATTCTTAATATCAGAGCTTGTGCGTCGGGCTCCTGCGCACCATCTTGTCCAACAGGCTCTTCTGGCTGAGGACCCTCTGCACTGGGTTCTTCTGAGAGGTTACTCGGGACATAATCTGCATCCACAAATATTGACTCACTCTCTGAGTCATCTGTCTTGTGCATGTCCTTGTACATCACCTTCTCGTTGAATATCACATCTCTACTACGGATCACTTTCTTGTTTTCGTTGTCCCAAATACGGTAGCCGAACTCATCTTCACCATAGCCGATGAAAGTGCATTTCTTTGACTTGGGATCAAGCTTATTCCTGCCTTGATCACTAATATGCACGTAAGCTACACAACCGAAAACTTTAAGATGTGAGAGTTTTACCTCCTTTCCGCACCATACCTCCTCTGGTATTCTGTGCTCCAATGGAACCGATGGACCTCGGTTGATCAAATAAGCTGTCTTCATACTCACTGCCATTGTCGGTCCTGAGCTTTTTTATTCTCAGACCGGTCTCATTCTCGACCATAGCTTTCCATCTCCTGAAAGCTTCAAATACTTCTGACTTATACTTCAGAAAGTAGACCCACACTTTCCGAGAGTGATCATCGATAAAAGTCACAAAGTAGTGTTTTCCACCAATGGACGCGGTGGTTGTTGGTCCCCACACATCTGAGTGAACGAGCTCCAGTTTCTCTTTCCTGGGGGTTCTGCCACTTGTCTGAAAGCTGACTCTCTTCTGCTTTTCAAGTATACATTCTTCACACATATCCATCTCCACTGACTGCAGTCCTGGGAGTTTTCCCTTTGTGTGCATGATTTTCATCCCCTTTTCACTCATATGACCAAGTCTCTGGTGCCACAGCTTTGAAGTCTCATTGCCTGCTGCAACTGAGATCAAACAACGTGCACCTGCTGTCATATATAGGGTACCAGTCTTCCTGCCTCGGGCAATCGTCATTGCGCCCTTTGAGATCTTCCAATCATCTCCATGGAAGGTTGTGGTGTATCCTTCGCCAGCCAACTGGCCTACGGATATTAAATTCTTTCTCAGGTCGGGAATATGCCTGACATCCTTCAGCTCCCATACTGACCCGTTCAACTTAATTTTCACCACGCCTTTGCCCACTATAGCACACGGTTGATCATCACCAAGATATACGTATCCAAGTTTTCCGGGGGTATACTTCTCGAAGAATTCTTTCTGAGAAGTAGCATGGAACGACGCTCCTGAATCTAACACCCAAGATTCCTCCTTGCTCTTCAAAGAGCATATCAATGCGTCATCTCCTCCTGAGGTGGAGGTGTCATTCACCTCTGTCTTCGCCTCCTTCTCCTTCTGTGCACTCTTGCACTGATTCTTGTAATACCCGGTCTTTCCATAATTCCAACACTCAATAGCCTTCGAGCTGTTGCTTGGATTCCTTGATTTGGACCTCCTGTTCTTTGATCTACCTCTGAAGTTTGATTTGCTCCGTCCGTTTTCTCTGGTTGAATTTCTACCTCTTGACTCTGTATGCAATACTGAAGAGGTTGTAGCTTCACCCGTCTCTCTCCGTCGGATCTCCTCACTGAGAACCAAATCACGAACGTCGTCGAACTTCAACTTTTTGTTTCCCGACGAGCTACTCACTGCCGTGACTGTAGCGTTCCAACTCTCTGGTAGGGAAGACAAAAGTATCAACGCCCGAACTTCTTCATCAAACTCAATCTCAACTGAACTCAATTGGGTTGTAACCGTATTAAGTTCATTGAGGTGTTGTGCTACTGACGCGCCTTCCGCCATTTTCAGATTGAATAACCGCCGCATCAAATGAATTTTGTTCGCGGCTGATGACTTCTCATACATGTTTGAGAGTGCTGCCATAAGACCCGCCGTGGTCTTCTCCTTTGCTATGTTGAACGCAACATTACGAGTCAACGTCAATCTGATAACTCCGAGGGCTTGTCTATCTAGAAGGTTCCACTCATCTGCCTTCATAAAATCCGGCTTCTTCCCCGATAGTGGTTGATACAGATTTTTCTGATACAGATAATCCTCTATCTGCATTTTCCAGAATCCGAAATCTGTTCCATCAAATTTCTCAAGTCTTATTTTTCCTTCATCTGCGGTCATGGCTCCCACTTGAATCTGACTTCCTCTAGATCGTTTCACGTTCTGATACCAGTTGTTGGGAATTTAATGCCTAAACCCCTAATACAACAGAAACGCAGAATAGAAAAAAATACACCAAGATTTATGAGGTTCGGCAACTGCCTACGTCCTCGGGAGCCACACAGTTAATTTCTTATTAATCAAACAAGAAATTACAATTTAGGAGCAGATCAAATATGAGATCTCTCTAATGAACACTGTAGCTACAGTGTTAATACCCACAATAAATACCCTCTTCTCTTTTCTCTCTCTTCTTAATTCCTTTTCTTAATCTCCCCTCAAAAGAGCAATTGAGAGCTGGAGATGGAAATAAAAATTGCTGCTGTGATTTTAAGGCGTTAATTTCGTCCGCCGCCAGAGAGAGATCGGGGGAAAAAGCTCAGCACCGAAACCCTAGATCTCAAGGGGTTTATATAAGCGGGATTCGTGGGCTGGCGACAGCCTGTCGCCAGCGGATAAGCCCGACGCGAGGGTGGGAGGCCGAACGCGGGGGTCGGAGTCGCCCAACGTGAGGGTCGCGTTCGCCATCAACCGAGGGTCGCGTTCGCCATCAACCGAGTTCGTCGTCGAATTCGCCTGAGTCGACGTCCACGCTCGCCTGCATCATCCATCGAGCTCGTCGGAGCTCCTCGACGGTGGAGGTGAGTTTGGTCTACACCCAAACTAACAGTTGTCATCGAATTTGATATTGGGCGCCCCGATTCTTTTAAGATGTTTCAAATTCCTTCCTCCAATCAAGAGTAACAGTAGCAATATTTAATAGTTGGGGGTCCTAATAGCAATTTTAATGATTCTAGTGACTAATTTCAAAATATTAAAGATTGACAAGGGACTAATACCTATGAAGCCCTCCTACATGCAATAAATGTCTGAAGAATACCTGATGCTAGCAGCAGCCGTGATAGTATACGCTACGCAACAACCATACATGTTGGTAAGCTGAAGAAACGAACAAACCAAATGGCTCTTGTCACCTGCAAGCATCCGCACACATTGATGTCTACTAACAAAATACACTCACACACACATAAGAGATGAAAACGTGCTGTTTATTGATCTCCACTATTGAACCTTAATCTATTCCTATACTAATATATAATGAGGTTAGTGAGGGTAATGAAAAGTTGGGTGATTGGTGGACGTATACTTTTTCCTATGGTAACTGTAAGGGTAAAATTGTAATTTTGCAGAAGAGATGTTTTTTCCCCCTTCCTTTCTACTTCTTTTATTTCTAGAACATAATAAAACGGTGGCATGAGAATATAATTTGAACTCACATAATTAAAGTTATTTTGCAAGAGGTTTTCCTTTATTTCTTTTTCTTTTTAACTTTCATACTTCTATAACATTCTAAAGCATAACATGAGAATAAGATAAACACTTGCATAATTAAATTACTATCTTCTCTATTTTCCTTTTTTTTATGTTAATTACTTGCTCAAATTATATTAACCTCAAAGGAAAACACTTTAATAAATTTGTATTAAGAATATTTGTTGATTTAATTACAAATGAGTGGATCGAGCTACAATTTCTACATAGAACTTTATAACAACATAACATAAATTAAATTATTATCGAATTAGTACTATGTATAACAGAAAACTAACTGGACAATAAATTTAATGATTTCGCACGTATATCCGTGCATGTGCAAATGTGCTGGTTAGTACTAAAATTCTTAACATTATTGGGTGGTTTGGCTTGAAAATCAATTTTTAATTGTTAAGGGTATCCAAAGTCACATGTATATGCTAATAATTTATAGAAGTAAGAACTACTCAAACGGGACTTCACCGGAACCTGATATGTATGTTAGACATTTGTAATTTAACTTTTTATGTAGAATAATTAATGCACACAAAGTGGACCTTTGATTATGTCACCTCAATTATTTAATTTGTACTCTACCATAAAAACTACCCCATTGGGTCACATCAAAAAAAAATTCTCTCCACTAAAACCCAATCAAGTTCTTTGATTAATTATCTTCCGTCAATCAAATCAATACTATTAATAATAAAGTAAAAATCTGATTTGTATGTTTTTATCACTTAGCAACAAATTGTAAGAGCTCTAACATTTAATAACTAATAATTATTTTCTCATTTTAACCCACATCTAAGGGCCCTAATATTTAATAACTAATAATCATTCTATTTGTTCTCTTTTTTAAAATAATCTTATCTTTATCCTCTCTCTTTATCCAAAAGTCTAATATCCATACAAGAATAATAATTCAGTCTTGTGCATCGCACGTGTAAGAACTAGTTAATAGCAATTAAAGAACCAATTCCTATTTTAAAGTTATGCCAAAATAAGAGTTACAAGGGTGTGTTTGGTAACTTTGTGAAAATATGTCACATTTGATTTTAGCACCGGTTCTTTTGAGGACAATTTTAGATGTGGACCAACTCCCCCATTGGTCTACAACTAAACTAGTTAAGACCCTCTAAAATTAAATTGGAAAGAACCGAGCCATTTCCGACCCAATTTTTATCAATCACAACATTTTAAACTGGATCAGGTTCAAACCTGACCCAGATTTATAAGGTTACCAAACAGGCCCCAAGGCTCATGAGGGGTGCAAACCTAGCTCAAAATCACCATGATGTAAATAGTCTACACTTCCTCAAAAACAATCTGAAAAAAAAAAAAAACATGCGTATAAGAAGAACTCGCAAATTCCTCACCTAAATTTTGTTTCACAGCACCCATGTATGATTTATTCCTGATGTGGCCATGCTCAGGATCAGGAGATCTGTAACAATTAGCAAGCAAAGTGGCCTGGACCAATGTGACTGCTGCAAAGAAGAGAATAGCGGCAGGGCCAGCAATCCAACCTAGTTGAGCCACACTCCATGATAATGATAGAACTCCGGATCCTACTACTGCTGTTATGATATGAGCCACCGCAGTGTACACGTTTCCTACCCCCAAAGAAACAATTTATTAGTAGTTGGAACCAAATAATATTTCCTAAGCCTATAAGCCTATAACCTTGGTTTTTCAGGTATCCGCACAGAGACGACATGTAAAATTTTAGTTTATTACATTTTTTTTTTTTACTTTATTTGAACCTAACTTTCTCTCTACATTTTTTTCTTCTCAACTCTAAAAAAAAACAATGAATTTTGAAGAGTAATTTGTTCGATGTCATATTAGTTTGGTGTTAATCCTTTCTTGTCAGGACATGATTCAACAAAGACTGGTTTATCAAAAGTAATATATATAATTTTAACCTTTATATTACATCTTAATTTCAATTTGGCTTATCCACCAGTAAAAACCTCATAAAGTAGCTCTTGCTACCCATAAATCCCATTTTTAGATTGCTTAACCATTGATATAATTATAAATTATTAGAGAATAAATATAACGAAACATTTGAATGAACTGAATAACTTCCTTACTGGGGAGAAAGTATTACACAATAAAGTTTATAGCCATAACTTCTGAAGTCTTTGAATCTAAAGGGAACCTAAATAGAAGATGACATGATTCCTCTGTTCTATATTTAGAAAAAAAAGGGAAACAAGTTGGCATAATACAGCTTTCTTTTAAGAAAATCTTATGCAAGTAAATTAGGACATAAAATGGCCGGTATAGTGAAGTCTAGAACCCAACTAATCAAGAACCCAAACACCCGTTAATCAATAAAAAAATTGAGAAATTAAGTTGAGTGCTCACCAGTTCTCTTGATGAGATCCCCATCTGATTCCTTTTTATGATTTCTGAGCAAAGTAATGTTTTCTGTCGTCTCCCGTGTTCCTCCTCCTCCGCTTCCCATTGCCTCTTCTTTCAGCCAGCGCCTGCCAATGATGCTGCTGGAATTTTTTTTTTATTTTTAATATTTTTTTTTGAAAGGGGTGTTGGTTGCTTCTGCAAACGGACGTTAATATTTTGGTTTATGTGATTTTAAAGATTTATGAGGAACCGGGCAATAATAATAATATATAGGTTTTGGACAAGCAGAGCACCGTAAAGAAGGACGAATGTTTAAATGGGTTTGGAAGTGTGGACTAGTTAAAGTTAAATGAATACCGTTTTGAGTTTGTATTGAAAAGGATACAGTTACCAATACCATTCTACCGCAAATAAGAGCCCGTTTGGATAATGGAAGTATTAGAAGTAAGAAATAGGTTATAGAAGTAACTTTCAAAGCTATGAAGTAGGAAGTAGTGGAAATAGCATTTTTTTTTACTTGTTTCATATATTTTTAGAAGTAATAGAAGTAGAACTTTTTCCTCTTCATTTACTTTTTTTGTTTGGATAACATTTGGAAATATTACTAGGAAGTAATTTTATCATTGAAAAGTTATTAGAAGTAACTAATAAAAAAAATATTAATAAAAAAATTATTTATATCCTAATTAATATGCATTTCAACTACTTCCGAGCTATTTCTGGGTATTGAGGATTGGAAAAATATTTTGGAAGTAAGGATGACACGTAGGCGGCACATAAACATTTAGGAAAGTATTGAAAGTAAGTTTTTCAGAGAACCAAGCATATTTTTTTTTGCTTGGAAGTAGCAAAAGTAGCTTTTATTTCTTTTACTTCAGCTACTTCACAATTACTTAATGAGGGCTAACTGGTGGGCTAATTTCAAAGCAATTATATCTTATAATTTTGGGGGCCCAGATAGCTACTTGATGATTTCACAATAAAAAAAGAAAAAAAGATAAAGCGAGGGGGTACCACAAAAAAAAACCTGATCTTTTCGCTCATCTTTCACGACAAAAAGCCTCCCACTCGGGGGGAAATTTTTGGGTAGAAATATTCGTTACCGCAGTGATGAAATAGGTATTGGATGCGGTGATATCAGCAAGAGAAGGAGAAAGCGTACAGGGCTCTCTTTCCCCCACTCCGGCGCTGTTCCGTACGTATTTATATGATGTGACATTATGCTGAACTTTTGATTGAAGAGTTGGACAAGTCGAATGATTTTCTTTTGGTAGGTTTTGATTACATCATGAGCTTAAACTAATTCTAGTATGAGAAATGATAGAGCCACACGTTGTATAGGGGGCTACCTGAGATTTTTTTTAAAGGAAAACTCTTAAAGGACCCCAAAAAATGGGACAGGGGAGGGGACAGGTGAGGTGTCCCCTCCCCATTGCTCCATGCACTGTTCATGAACAGTGCATGGAGCAATGGGGAGGGGACACCTCACATGTCCCCTCCCCTGTCCCATTTTTTGGGGTCCTGCTAGCATTGCTCTTTTTTAAAATCTCAAGTGGAGCCTCCTGTATTGTAGATTAGCGTCTCCCTTCCACTAAACTCTCGTAACCATCTGAGCTCATCCCAAAGTAAGATGTGATATTAGAAACACTTTGCAAAAATGATCCCGTTCTTAAGTTAAAACTTTGCTACTGTTAGACCATAAATTAGCTTAAAATCTTGCAAAAAGAAAAAGTTTGTTTTACATTTTTTTTTTTTTTGAAGTAATAAGCGTACGCTATGTTAAATTTATTATTCTGGGAGAGCAAAAACTTAAGAACATTTTATTATGCAAGGCACTATTCATTATTTCATCTCACTAAATAACTCTAAAGTTTAGGTTTTTCTTTCTCGCACAACTTTGTCTCTCAAATTTGTTCTGTTGTATAATTATTAATCTCAACTCTCATCATAACTTTAAAATCTTAATCTACTAAAATATGACCTTTTAATAGAGTATCAGATTATTTTTTAAATCAAAATCCCGCTAGATCCTTTAACATGGTATTAACGCAACTCAAACTAAAATCTCACTTCGATTAATAGAGTATCAGATTAAATTTTAAATTAAAATCCCGCTAGATCCTTTAACAGGGTATTAGCGCAGTTCAAACTAAAATCTCACTTCGATCCGCGTACTGAATTCAAGTTAAAATCCAACTAGATCGATATCAAAGGCGGATTAGAAAAATTATATAACGTAAAAGCGTATAATAGTTGAATAAGAAATAGTAAGGCTCGACGCAGAGTTTAAATTAAACTCTCCATGACTTCAGAATTTTTAATAAAAATTCATAAGCAAATAATACACGGACCACATCCTCGAATGATGCAACTTGCCCTAAAGAGAAACTATAAACTAAATTAAATTGAACACTTTAGATTTGGTGGGGATCGGCAAAGCCCGTGCAATAGTGCCGCGAGCGGGCCACGCTCAAGGGCCCAAGTAGCAAGCTACTTTGATGGGCCCTTAGCCAGTAAAAACACTAAATTAATATCATAATCAGATGTTAAACTGATAAGAACAGATACTATACTTGGTCTTAGCCCAGAGGCCGAGAAAAGTAGACTTTTTAAGGTGCCCATAGGTGTTTTTTATTACCGTAAGCAAGCTTCCTGATTCTAACACAGCCAATGTGGGATTTTGTGAAGGTTCCAATTACTTCGTTGGGTTTTCTTCATTCGCCCAACTAAACCCATGAACAACATATTTTGATACAGGGTTAACCCGTGCCCACTTACCTGATATAAATAGTCACCTAGGGTTTTGTTTCGTGTGTGAAGGAGGTTGATTGGTTTTTGTGCGGCTGCAGGATAATAGCAGAGAGGCTTTTTGAGGCTGTAGTTGATGAGATTTTGTATAGTCTCTTTTGGGGTTTTGTGCATCCCTTTGAGAGGTATTTGTGAGGGATTTGAGAGTTTGTTTGAGGGTTTAGATTGTGAGTGATTGTAAACCCTAGTTGTATTCTCTCCCTCTATTAGTAGATCTCCCCCCTCCTTGCCCCGTGGACGTAGGCAATTTGCCGAACCACGTAAAAATTGGTTGTACTGCTTTTGTGTGATTTGTAATAGCTTTTTAGGATCCCTCGACGCGCAGTCCTAGAGCTGACGAGAGGAAGAGCTAATATCTCACTTTGATGAGATATTAGGCTTCAGATTCTTGTTCCCTTTGAGAAACAAGAATTCTTATTGCGACCTCACCCTTGTTGCGCGCAGCGAAAATTTCGGCAGCACTTCAGCAGCACAACAAGAGTGATGTCGCAATAAGAATTCTTGTTTCTCAAAGGGGACAAGAATCTGAAGCCTAATATCTCATCAAAGTGAGATATTAGCTCTTCCTCTCGTCAGCTCTAGGACAGCGCGTCGAGGGATCCTAAAAAGCTATTACAAATCACACAAAAGCAGTACAACCAATTTTTACGTGGTTCGGCAAATCCTACGTCCACGGGGCAGAAAGGAGGGGAGTCATAGTATGAAGGGAGAGAATACAACTAGGTTTACAATCAATCTAAACCCTCAAACAAACTCTCAAATCCCTCACAAATACCTCTCAAAGGGATGCACAAAACCCCAAAAGAGACTATACAAAATCTCCTCAACTACAGCCTCAAAAAGCCTCTCTGCTATTATCCTGCAGCCGCACAAAAACCAATCAACCTCCTTCACACACGAAACAAAACCCTAGGTGACTATTTATATCAGGTAAGTGGGCACGCGTTATCAAAACGCGTGGGAGGAATCAAAAAACAAAACCGAGTCGGTTTTGCTTCGTACGCGGACTCAACAAGCACGTGGGTAGGGGCCCACGTCCACGTCCGCTCATAATTCTCCACCTCGGTGAAGTTTTCCCAAAACTGAGCCGACACCAAAGCAACCAAATGTCCCACTTGTTGCGTCAAGTACGAACTCAATCCACAATAAGTCGAGAACCCGAACAAGAGTCCAAACAATCTCACCCCCATCAAAATCAACTAATCCAAACCGGCTGCATCTGAAAGACTGCCTATGTATCCTCTTGCCCAAGGAATCAAGCCAAACGTAGTTCATCCAAATGGCCGCCAACGACCTCAACAATCACGAATGTGCAACAAGTTTCGACACTGATCAAACTTATTGCTCGGAACCACCTTAGTGAGCATATCCGCTGGATTATCCTTCGTATGGACTTTCACAATTTCCACATCGCCATCTTCAAGAACATCTCGAACGAAGTGATAACGAACATCAATGTGCTTCGTCCGCGCATGAAAAACCTGATTCTTCGCCAAATAGATAGCACTCATGCTATCACAATGAATAGTGACGGACCTCTGCGATATACCAAGTTCCTCCAAAAGTCCTCGAAGACAAATAGCCTCTTTCACAGCCTCCGTAACTGCCATATACTCTGCCTCCGTCGTAGACAAAGCCACCGTCGACTGTAAGGTGCATCTCCAACACACCGGCGCACGGGTCAAAGTAAACACATACCCCGTAGTAGACCGGCGCTTATCCAAATCCCCGGCATAAGCCGAATCAACATAGCCAATGCATAGCTGCCCACCTGTAGTGTCCCGCTCATAAACCAAACCAACATTGAGCGTACCTCGAATGTACCTCAAAATCCATTTCACGGCGTCCCAATGACCCACTCCTGGATCGTGCATGTATCTCGAAACCATGCTCACCGCCTGTGACAAATCTGGTCTCGTACATACCATCGCGTATATCAAGCTCCCAACCGCACTCGCATATGGAGTCTTCGACATCAACTCTCTATCTTCAACTGACTTCGGTGAAAGACCAGCTGAAAGCTTCAAATGGGCTCCCAATGGTATACTAACTGGCTTCGTATCCATGCTAACATAAAATCACTGTAGAACCTTCTTCAAATAAGCCACCTGTATCAAACAAATTCTGCCCTTCTTCTTGTCTCTGCCGATCTCCATCCCTAGAATGCGCTTCGCCTCACCCAAGTCTTTCATCTCAAACTCATTTGATAGCTGAACTTTCAATTCATCTATAGCCGACCTGGAAATAGAGGCAACCAACATGTCATCGACATAGAGCAACAAATAAATATACGCACCTCCTTTCAACTTGCGAAAATATACGCAAGGATCAAACTGGCTCCGAGTGTACGAATGACCAAGCATAAAACCATCAAATCGCCTATACCACTGTCGAGGAGACTGTTTCAAACCGTATAGCGATTTCTTCAATCTGCAAACCAACTTATCTTT